CCGGTCTCCAGAAATCCCTGCTGGACAAACCGCTTGATAACAGACCTGGCCGAAATAGCTCAGTTGGGAGAGCGTTAGACTGAAGATCTAAAGGTCCCTGGTTCGATCCCGGTTTCGGCAGAGCAGCCTGGTCACCGTGTTTTGGTCGACGGACTCCCACTGACCAAATGCCAGCTCCTGTCAACCTGATTCCGCCTATTCTCATCGCTATCTGCCTTTCAGACGGCCAGGACCAGGGCGTGTTGGTTCCATGGTGTAATGGTTAGCACTCTGGGCTTTGAATCCAGCGATCCGAGTTCAAATCTCGGTGGAACCTTTTCAGCTTGTTTAGCGGAAGGGCGGGAAAAAACAGAGCTGATGCGCAACCGCTGATGTGGTGGTGAAACTGGCACTCTAAAACCCAGGCGGTATCGGGGAAACGTGGGCTTAATAAGAAAAAGCTTCACTTGCTCTTTGCTGTCCACCTACTAGGCTGAATGACTAAACACCTCTGCTGCTCGGTGGTAAAAATCCACCCACGCCAAGGTTCCATGGTGCAATGGTTAGCACTCTGGACTCTGAATACAGCGATCCGAGTTCAAATTTCGAGGACCTGCTTTTGACAGGAATGTGTGCAGTACCGCGTCCGAAAAAACTTTTCCACAGCGCTCATCCAGGGAGTGCCCCTTTGAAGTGAGCGTAAAAGGCGTTACACAAAGTGGAGAATGCGGGCATCGATCCCGCTATCTCTCGCATGCTAAGCGAGCGCTCTACCATTTGAACTAATTCCCCTCGACGATGTGGAGAGATGGTGTCTTTCGCTCTCAAAGACAACGGCCTGGACGATCCCTTTCATCTCTGCAAGTGCTGTAGCGTGGCCACAAAGCAAAGAGACCTATTTTTTCTGTGCCGGCAACTTTGCACTGGCTACCGTTTAGTTGCACATTTAATGAAACTTTTGTGCTTTAAGCCTTGCAAACGGAAATGATTGCAGCCAGGCAGCAGCAGGCAGGGCGTGTGTGTTGGCTCGTTGGTTTAGGGGTATGATTCTCGCTTAGGGTGTGAGTGGTCCCGGGTTCAAATCATGGACGAGCCCGTTCTCAGGCTTTGCTTTTAATCACTTCAGCCTGACCAGGGCAACCAGGATATTTCTTGGAAATTGTGGACAAAAGCAGTCAGCGTTGGGCCGTTTAGCTCAGTTGGTTAGAGCGTGGTGCTAATAACGCCAAGGTCGCGGGTTCGATCCCCGTACGGGCCAAGCTTTTGGTCTCTGCTCATCTCGAAAATGACGGGCGGTCTCCCAGAAATCCCTGCTGGACAAACCGCTTGATAACAGACCTGGCCGAAATAGCTCAGTTGGGAGAGCGTTAGACTGAAGATCTAAAGGTCCTTGGTTCGATCCCGGGTTTCGGCAGAGCAGCCTGGTCACCGTGTTTTTGGTAGACGGACTCCACTGACCAAATGCCAGCTCCTGTCAATCTGATTCCGCCTATTCTCAACGCTATCTGCCTTTCAGGCAGCCAGGGACCAGGGCGTGTTGGTTCCATGGTGTAATGGTTAGCACTCTGGGCTTTGAATCCAGCGATCCGAGTTCAAATTTCGGTGGAACCTTTTCAGCTTGTTTAGCGGAGGGGCGGGAAAAAACAGAGCTGATGCGCAACCGCTGATGTGGTGGTGAAACTGGCACTCTAAAACCCAGGCGGTATCGGGGAAACGTGGGCTTAATAAGAAAAAGCTTCACTTGCTCTTTGCTGTCCACCTACTAGGCTGAATGACTAAACACCTCTGCTGCTCGGTGGTAAAAATCCACCCACGCCAAGGTTCCATGTTTCAATGGTTAGCACTCTGGACTCTGAATACAGCGATCCGAGTTCAAATTTCGGTGGGACCTGCTTTTGACAGGAATGTGTGCAGTACCGCGTCCGAAAAAACTTTTCCACAGCGCTCATCCAGGGAGTGCCCCTTTGAAGTGAGCGTAAAAGGCGTTACACAAAGTGGAGAATGCGGGCATCGATCCCGCTATCTCTCGCATGCTAAGCGAGCGCTCTACCATTTGAACTAATTCCCCTCGACGATGTGGAGAGACGGTGTCCTTCGCTCTCAAAGACAACGGCCTGGACGATCCCTTTCATCTCTGCAAGTGCTGTAGCGTGGCCACAAAGCAAAGAGACCGTATTTTTTCTGTGCCGGCAACTTTGCACTGGCTACCGTTTAGTTGCACATTTAATGAAACTTTTGTGCTTTAAGCCTTGCAAACGGAAATGATTGCAGCCAGGCAGCAGCAGGAAGGGCGTGTGTGTTGGCTCGTTGGTCTAGGGGTATGATTCTCGCTTAGAGTGCGAGTGGTCCCGGGTTCAAATCATGGACGAGCCCGTTCTCAGGCTTTGCTTTTAATCACTTCAGCCTGACCAGGGCAACCAGGATATTTCTTGGAAATTGGGGACAAAAGCAGTCAGAGTCGGGCCGGTTAGCTCAGTTGGTTAGAGCGTGGTGCTAATAACGCCAAGGTCGCGGGTTCGATCCCCGTACGGGCCAAGCTTTTGGTCTCTGCTCATCTCGAAAATGACGGGCGGTCTCCCAGAAATCCCTGCTGGACAAACCGCTTGATAACAGACCTGGCCGAAATAGCTCAGTTGGGAGAGCGTTAGACTGAAGATCTAAAGGTCCTTGGTTCGATCCCGGGTTTCGGCAGAGCAGCCTGGTCACCGTGTTTTTGGTAGACGGACTCCACTGACCAAATGCCAGCTCCTGTCAATCTGATTCCGCCTATTCTCAACGCTATCTGCCTTTCAGGCAGCCAGGGACCAGGGCGTGTTGGTTCCATGGTGTAATGGTTAGCACTCTGGGCTTTGAATCCAGCGATCCGAGTTCAAATTTCGGTGGAACCTTTTCAGCTTGTTTAGCGGAGGGGCGGGAAAAAACAGAGCTGATGCGCAACCGCTGATGTGGTGGTGAAACTGGCACTCTAAAACCCAGGCGGTATCGGGGAAACGTGGGCTTAATAAGAAAAAGCTTCACTTGCTCTTTGCTGTCCACCTACTAGGCTGAATGACTAAGCACCTCTGCTGCTCGGTGGTAAAAATCCACCCACGCCAAGGTTCCATGGTGCAATGGTTAGCACTCTGGACTCTGAATACAGCGATCCGAGTTCAAATTTCGATAGACCTGCTTTTGACAGGAATGTGTGCAGTACCGCGTCCAAAAAAACTTTTCCACAGCGCTCATCCAGGGAGTGCCCCTTTGAAGTGAGCGTAAAAGGCGTTACACAAAGTGGAGAATGCGGGCATCGATCCCGCTATCTCTCGCATGCTAAGCGAGCGCTCTACCATTTAAACTAATTCCCCTCGACGATGTGGAGAGACGGTGTCCTTCGCTCTCAAAGACAACGGCCTGGACGATCCCTTTCATCTCTGCAAGTGCTGTAGCGTGGCCACAAAGCAAAGAGACCGTATTTTTTCTGTGCCAGCAACTTTGCACTGGCTGCCGTTTAGTTGCACATTTAATGAAACTTTTGTGCTTTAAGCCTTGCAAACGGAAATGATTGCAGCCAGGCAGCAGCAGGCAGGGCGTGTGTGTTGGCTCGTTGGTCTAGGGGTATGATTCTCGCTTAGGGTGTGAGTGGTCCCGGGTTCAAATCATGGACGAGCCCGTTCTCAGGCTTTGCTTTTAATCACTTCAGCCTGACCAGGGCAACCAGGATATTTCTTGGAAATTGTGGACAAAAGCAGTCAGAGTCGGGCCGGTTAGTTTAGTTGGTTAGAGCGTGGTGCTAATAACGCCAAGGTCGCGGGTTCGATCCCCGTATGGGCCAAACTTTTGGTCTCTGCTCATCTCGAAAATGACGGGCGGTCTCCCAGAAATCCCTGCTGGACAAACCGCTTGATAACAGACCTGGCCGAAATAGCTCAGTTGGGAGAGCGTTAGACTGAAGATCTAAAGGTCCCTGGTTCGATCCCGGGTTTCGGCAGAGTAGCCTGGTCACCGTGTTTTTGGTCGACGGATTCCACTGACCAAATGCCAGCTCATGTCAACCTGATTCCGCCTATTCTCATCGCTATCTGCCTTTCAGACGGCCATGGACCAGGGCGTGTTGGTTCCATGGTGTAATGGTTAGCACTCTGGGCTTTGAATCCAGCGATCCGAGTTCAAATCTCGGTGGAACCTTTTCAGCTTTTTTTTGCGGAAGGGCGGGAAAAAACTGAGCTGATGCGCAACCGCTGATGTGGTGGTAAAACTGGCACTCTAAAACCCAGGCGGTATCGGGGAAACGTGGGCTTAATAAGAAAAAGCTTCACTTGCTCTATGCTGTCCACCTACTAGGCTGAATGACTAAACACCTCTGCTGCTCGGTGGTAAAAATCCACCCACGCCAAGGTTCCATGTTTCAATGGTTAGCACTCTGGACTCTGAATACAGCGATCCGAGTTCAAATTTCGGTGGGACCTGCTTTTGACAGGAATGTGTGCAGTACCGCGTCCGAAAAAACTTTTCCACAGCGCTCATCCAGGGAGTGCCCCTTTGAAGTGAGCGTAAAAGGCGTTACACAAAGTGGAGAATGCGGGCATCGATCCCGCTATCTCTCGCATGCTAAGCGAGCGCTCTACCATTTGAACTAATTCCCCTCGACGATGTGGAGAGACGGTGTCCTTCGCTCTCAAAGACAACGGCCTGGACGATCCCTTTCATCTCTGCAAGTGCTGTAGCGTGGCCACAAAGCAAAGAGACCGTATTTTTTCTGTGCCGGCAACTTTGCACTGGCTACCGTTTAGTTGCACATTTAATGAAACTTTTGTGCTTTAAGCCTTGCAAACGGAAATGATTGCAGCCAGGCAGCAGCAGGAAGGGCGTGTGTGTTGGCTCGTTGGTCTAGGGGTATGATTCTCGCTTAGGGTGCGAGTGGTCCCGGGTTCAAATCATGGACGAGCCCGTTCTCAGGCTTTGCTTTTAATCACTTCAGCCTGACCAGGGCAACCAGGATATTTCTTGGAAATTGGGGACAAAAGCAGTCAGAGTCGGGCCGGTTAGCTCAGTTGGTTAGAGCGTGGTGCTAATAACGCCAAGGTCGCGGGTTCGATCCCCGTACGGGCCAAGCTTTTGGTCTCTGCTCATCTCGAAAATGACGGGCGGTCTCCCAGAAATCCCTGCTGGACAAACCGCTTGATAACAGACCTGGCCGAAATAGCTCAGTTGGGAGAGCGTTAGACTGAAGATCTAAAGGTCCCTGGTTCGATCCCGGGTTTCGGCAGAGCAGCCTGGTCACCGTGTTTTTGGTCGACGGATTCCACTGACCAAATGCCAGCTCCTGTCAATCTGATTCCGCCTATTCTCAACGCTATCTGCCTTTCAGGCAGCCAGGGACCAGGGCGTGTTGGTTCCATGGTGTAATGGTTAGCACTCTGGGCTTTGAATCCAGCGATCCGAGTTCAAATCTCGGTGGAACCTTTTCAGCTTGTTTAGCGGAAGGGCGGGAAAAAACAGAGCTGATGCGCAACCGCTGATGTGGTGGTGAAACTGGCACTCTAAAACCCAGGCGGTATCGGGGAAACGTGGGCTTAATAAGAAAAAGCTTCACTTGCTCTTTGCTGTCCACCTACTAGGCTGAATGACTAAACACCTCTGCTGCTCGGTGGTAAAAATCCACCCACGCCAAGGTTCCATGGTGCAATGGTTAGCACTCTGGACTCTGAATACAGCGATCCGAGTTCAAATTTCGATAGACCTGCTTTTGACAGGAATGTGTGCAGTACCGCGTCCAAAAAAACTTTTCCACAGCGCTCATCCAGGGAGTGCCCCTTTGAAGTGAGCGTAAAAGGCGTTACACAAAGTGGAGAATGCGGGCATCGATCCCGCTATCTCTCGCATGCTAAGCGAGCGCTCTACCATTTGAACTAATTCCCCTCGACGATGTGGAGAGACGGTGTCCTTCGCTCTCAAAGACAACGGCCTGGACGATCCCTTTCATCTCTGCAAGTGCTGTAGCGTGGCCACAAAGCAAAGAGACCGTATTTTTTCTGTGCCGGCAACTTTGCACTGGCTACCGTTTAGTTGCACATTTAATGAAACTTTTGTGCTTTAAGCCTTGCAAACGGAAATGATTGCAGCCAGGCAGCAGCAGGCAGGGCGTGTGTGTTGGCTCGTTGGTTTAGGGGTATGATTCTCGCTTAGGGTGTGAGTGGTCCCGGGTTCAAATCATGGACGAGCCCGTTCTCAGGCTTTGCTTTTAATCACTTCAGCCTGACCAGGGCAACCAGGATATTT